GGTATTAGAGTGGGTTTGTGATACACTCAAGGAATCATGTCAAATCCCAAAGCCTTTGGTCTTAACAAAATTCCTCCCATTTTTTAACACAATTTCACTATGTGGAAAACAAAAGCCATGGTTTTTCTTGAAACCATTGACTATGAGATGAGAAAAATTATTGAAAAAGGTTCCTATGTTCCTATGTACCAAATCATGGCCAACAACGCTCCCGTTGGACCCTTGAAGCAAAAGCCAGAGATGAGTTATAATGATAATGACAAAATACTGCTTATTCATGATGTGAAAGCCAAGGATTCTATTGGAAACTATCTTCCATACCACGTGTATCATCTTGTATAGAATTATAAGTCAACTTAAGAGATGATAGCTATGTTGATAGTGGCTTAAGAAGGCACAATGGAAGTCCAGGCCATAACCATTAACAACCTCAATCGGATACATGAGCATTTCTTTAATGAAAAAGGTGAGTCACTTACCCAAACCTTCAATAGGTTTAACTGCTTGGTTAATTATATGCGTAGACTGGGAATCATTGAGCATTCATCTTAGTCGATTTTGAAGTTTCTCAATTCTCTTGGGAAAAGTTAAGTATATCACGCTGATGTTCTTAAGAATGGTGAAAAGATTGACACCATGGATATGAACTCCTTGTTTGGTAATCCATGAAATTATGAAGAGACCAAAGCTCTTCGTAAATAAATTATGAAGGAATCAATAAAGGAAAAGTTTGTTTCTCTAGTGTAGTGAAAGGAAGAAATGGATCACATCAGCAAATCAAAAAATTTAGATCAGGGTGAGGAAAATGATGAAGATCTCACTGATGAACTTGTTGCCAACACTACTCTTATTGTTAAACGCTATGAAGAAAGAAGATCAAAAGGGGTTCGAAGAACTCAATTTGAAGGAAACAATTCAACAAGGAGATCCACTTCAGAGAAGAGAAAATCAAGTAATTGCTTTAATTATGGAAGCCCTAATCATTTTTATTGGGATTGCAAGGAGAAGAAAGAAGCTTAAAGTCTGGAGAATTATGAAGTCTTGTATAAGAAGCTTGCGGCCCATATGAAGAAGGAAAGAATCTCTCTACTAAAAGCTTTCATTGCAAAATAAGGGGACTGTGAAGAATGGGTGGAAGAAGAGGAAACATCTGAAGATGAGGGGCTGAATGTTAATGGTCTTATGGCACTTATCAATGATTCTCCTGATGGCATATATGATGCTGATAGTTCTCACGCTATCAAAGGACCAAGTCCAAATCTAGGACAATCTTAGTACCTAGACAATGGAAGTTCTAGACACATGACCGGTTACAAGTCCCTCTTAACAGATTTTACAAAGAAGGATAGTCCAGTGGTAATCCTTAGTGACAATAGTGGAAGGGTTGTTACATGTGTAGGAAATTTTGAATGCACAACAATTAAGCTGGAGGATGTGATTTATGTTGAGGGAGTGAAAGGAAACTTCATCTCCATTAGTCAACTTTGTGATGCTGGTTATAAATTTCTTTTTAATCATCATGAGGGAAACCTGTTTGATTATGAGAACAAAATCGTTCTTTCTTCACTAAGGGACAACAATATTTATATGGTTTGATTTTATTGGTTTAGACATTGATACTATATTTTGTCTTTTCTTCATGCTTTTCTACACTTAAATTTCTGAACATAAGTTGCTACACTTTTAGTTTATTTTTTGTTTTTGTGCATTACATTTTTTTATTACTTTACCAAAGGAGTACACATTTTACATACACATTTTGCTACTAACATTGCCAATGTTCATTCTTCTCTTTCCTCTGTATGTGTTTGGACCTTCTATCTTCATATAAAAAATGATCTTAACTGATCAGATCAATGTGTCATTCCTTGAATGCATCATTCTCCTTTCCCTCTCACAAACGCTGAGGCTCATGCTATATATTTTCTTCATATAAAAAATGATCTTAACTGATCAAAGAGTTAGTTGATGCCGACTCTATATATTTTCTTCACCACCAATTTCCCTCTCACAAACGCTGAGGCTCATGCTAATGAGACCAGATGGGGGATAACTATGCCACCAAGTGTTCTTTTGGACATATATCTCTTCTATCTTGAACAACATATTTCATTTTGAGTGAGATGAAGTGGAGTTCAGTGACATTGACCTCCTAATTTCCAGGGACATTGTCATTAACTCTCCATCACCTCAAAGATCCAAAGGCTTCTTCAACAAGACAGTGATCCTACCTTCTCTTCCTTCATGTATCACAATGAATGTAACCTTCGAATATTGTCTTGCTACTCAGATAACTCGATGGTTACAAAGATTGGATCCTTCTAAATCATTTGTTACTGTTCTTCTTTTGTTCTTGGTGAACATGAAGCTTAGAATCAATCTGTAGAATCTTAATGATTAAAGGAATTCTCTCCCTTTGTTTAATGTGAATTATCTTTTGTGGTTGATCTTGTTTGTTCTCTTTTATTGCCAAAATTTAAGGGGTAGATATCTTCGAAAATGAAAGTGCATTTATGACCATTCAATTCTAAAGATTTGATGGAATGAATCTTTATCACCATTCTGAAAAACCTGCGCATACTTCACTATTAAGAATATTTTCTTATTTGACTAACTCTTTTGTTTGTGTTTGTATATTATTTTTAAGGGAATCTGATGGAGTCTATTCTAAGCCTAGTATGCAACTTTTGACACATCATCGTAATGAGAAGCATGTTTGCTATATGCATCAAGTATCATATTCTACTGAAATTTTTAACATAACCTAATGGTTACACTGATTTCATAGTCATCAGTGTAAGAGTTACTTGTCTGGTCCTTAAATGGCATATGGTTGTTCGTATCCCCGACCTCCTATTCTGAGGTATGGCATGGAACCATTATGAGTTAATGGTGAATCTTTGATTCTACACTGCAACCAACTCTATGATATGGAAGTTTAAACCACTTCTTGTTGATGCGTTTAACTATTTATAATTCACACTGATTCCAACTCAACATGACTGAAACAAACCATTCTTTCCTTTATCTTCTTAATAATAAAACTTGATGATTCACTGTGTTTTACCAAACACTTATAAAAGTTTGAAACTTTGTGCTGATGGTTAGTCTATGTACCATAGACTATCACATGCACCAACCCATTCTTGTCCTTATATTCTTCTTTACAACTTTATGATTCAGTGTAATGTACCATATGCTGATGAGAGCTTGACAAATCTATGCGAATGCTTAAGCTAAAACACCACAACTTATCACACACATCATACAACTCTTGCCCTTTTTTATAACAAAAATGGTTAAATAGTTAGCGTATGAAACCACATGCTGATGAGATCTCTCCATACTATGTCAATGAGCCGTAGTTTAAGCCCACACTATCATTTGACATCACAAACTTGACCTTTCAATGCACTCACTGATCACTTAGGCTAATGTTTATTGTTGCTGAGGACATATCATTGATGTAACTTTCTTATCTCAACGATAATTTTTTTAGATGACGATTAAACGATCCATCATTATCTTGGTATATGGGATTTTTACGACACAGTTCTCTTCAGTTATGATTTCCTAAAAATGAAGATTTTTTTTTATATAAATTGGGGATACTCCCTTTTAGGTCAGTTTTACAAGCTATTCAAGCAATTGGCTCATTCTGTCTCGAAAAAAGGATCTCTTAGGCATCATCCTTCTCAAGCTTTCACCATGTCAAAATCTCTCTACGAGTTTGCATCCAACACTAATGTTGTTAAAGGTTCTCATGCCCCTGATTCTCAAGTCATCATCTAGCAACCAATGTAGCGTTCTCTGACTACGTCCCAAAGCAGTTTTCCAAGTCAGGAATAGAAGACTCCGTCAACTATGTCAAGAGTTGATGTCTTCGATATGCCTTTTGTGATTTCCCAGACCCATTAATTCTATGCTAAACAAGTATGTGAGTTCTACTATTCATGCTCTATTAATTTTGATGCCCAAACCATTACTGGAACCATTGGTGACGGTCAATATAGGGTTATTATTGACGTGGAAACTTTTCGAACTGCTCTTCGTCTTACCCTATTTGAAAATTACTCTGAAACTCCCTCGGAAGAAAGTTACAAGCCTGTTCATGAAAAATTAGGGGATAACTTCAATCTTTAGAGCATCACTCGTGATCCATACAGGAACACTCTTTGTCAGTGTTTTAATGTAGGATGGAAGTATCTAACTATGGTCATTGGCAAGTGTTGGACACAAGACGGGGAGTTTGGATCAACTAAATCTTTTTAAGAAAACAAGTTTGTTCTCTTTTGTGTATAACAAAAGACTAGACTTTACCCAATGTTTTCTTGATCAGATGATTGATTGCATCACTGAGAACAAAAATCTAGTACATGTTCCTTATCCTCATCGACTTAGAATGATTTTATCTCATGAGGAAGGCTACGTTGAAAGTCATGGGATTGTCATTCCAATTCCTACCCTAGCTTCAAATATTATTAGTTCCGCTCCACTTGAAGGTGACTTATCTATTACTATGAGGATGCAAAAATGGATTGAGAAACCCTATATGGTTGAATCCACATATTCTGAAAGGATAATAAGAATGATGGTAAAGATAACGCTGATGAAGATTATGCAGAAGGAAATGTTGAGGATGATTATAAAGAAGATTCTAGTAATAGAGAAGGAGCTGATGAATAAGAACAAGCAATTGATTAGGTTGAAGACTCTACTCACGAGATGAACTCTACTCCAAGGATGAACCAACACATACATTTTCCTACTACTTCTTCATCCAATGGGATCTACCGATGATGTTGCACAACGCATATCAACCCCTCATTTATGGAAATAGCTGAACCAATGATCCAAAATGAGTTAGAATCTCCTTCTCCTCAAGCTAAGAATGATCCTCCTATGCCACTTTTCATCAAGATGATAAGGAAGAATCAAGCTCCAACTTTCAAATTGATGGTCTCTCTTAACTCTCTTTAAATGTGAAGTTAACTCAATCAATGAATACAAGGTTGGCTAAAGTTGAAAGAGATGTGACTGCAATGAAGCAGCTTATGAATCTAGGTGATGATGATGATGATATGGTTGTCAATGACACACCACCAAACTCTCCATGTGATAACCCTCCTCCACATCCACCCCCATCATTAAATCCTCCTCCACCGTCTCCTCCACCTTCTCATCCTCCTACTCCCACTCCTTCACCACCTGGTTCTCCTCCCTAATCTGATGTTGATAAAAAGGAGGAGAATAATTAAGGGATTTTTGATTAGCAAATGCAAATGGTGGGAATTGTACCAACTCCATCTCAACCTGAGGTATCTAATATTGAAATTGAAAGGGTTAACCTTCAAAAAGAAATTGTTGTTGCTGATATTCTAGAAGATGATATAACAACAATCATCCCATTCAAAACACCGATGATCAATCAGAAAGATATGACAATGAAGGATTTATTGACCTTGGTTTCATGTCATAAGTTGCTGTTGTTTATGTAGTTCCTTTGAATGTCGTCTACCCTAATTCATACTTTAAAGGGGAGGTTCCTCACGGAACTAATAGTGATATCGTGTCTGATGATGATCAGCTCAATCCTGGAAATAGGAAGGCTTACTCCTCACAGGGATATCATGAAGCTGAAGCTGGAAGTTCTATCTCTGATGATTCTTTAACAACCCCTCCCTTCACGAAAAGCAAACTCATCCTTGATATAAATGAGTTAGTTGCAACATGGAGGTTTTCTGTTGGTGAAGTAAATGAGATCATGATGGAAACTAATGCTTCTATTCAACAAAAGAAGGAAGCTAGAAAAGAAGAGCATATGTCTGCCAAACTTGTTTAAGCCCCTGCCTCCACTAATGAGAGTTCTTAGGATCAAGTCAAGAAAATTATAATTTTCAATAACATTGTCGAGAAACAACACAGGGTTGCAACCCTGAATAACCAGATGGACAAGAATAAGTTTGGAGACGTTCTTACTCATAGATCAAAGCCTAATCCAATTATTAAAGTAAGATCCACCAAACCAAGAAACGAGTCAATATAGCATCATCCGGTTAGGAAGAAAAATTAGTATAAGTACATTGAAGTTGTATTTTCTCATGAGCTAGTCAAATTTGGCTACAGGGAGTGGATGCAAATTAAAGAAATCATTGACAAACACAAGGGTATTCATGCTCATGAAGTGAAGTTGTCAATTCAGCAACTGCTTAGTAAAGTCAAGAAACTGAACCTTGTGCCATCAGCAGGTCCATCTTGATATTCCTCCTCAAGAAGAGCATGTGTTCCTAAACATTCAAAAAATACAAAGTTTCTTCTTCTTTATGGCACTTGATACATAAAAAATGAATTACAAGCGGGTGTTAAACCATTTCAATACATCTTAATTCCCGAACCGGAGCATGGTATATTTTATCTTGACAATTAGAATCAAATGTGCTTTTAATATACTGATGATCTTCCTTCTTCTCCCACTAAACATTTTTTTCATTTTTGCTTGGAAGGACTTGGATACCTTGAACTGGAAAGAGGATATTGCATGTTGATATCTCTGGAGCTTAGTAGAAGACCAGATAAGCTTAAAATTGATCAATTTTGACGGGTCAAGCCTAAGATCTTGATAGAAGCTGACAATTTTTATAATGGATCTTCTGATGACTCTAAAGAAGATTAATTTGGACATCATTAGATACGGGGAGATTGTAAAGTCACACCTTATGATCTGATGAGTCAAAAACTCATACAAGCTATCTGTCAGCATCAACGTCTTCTCAATTGCCAACACCAACATATTATGCTTATCAACATCAACGCATAGTATAGTTATTGTATGTAGTCTTTTGTATATTAGATAATGGTATATATAAGTATAGAATAGATAGCAGATCTAGTATCTTTGTAATGAAGATTGATTCTTGTTGGGGGTCAAAAATGGCATCGACTAAGTCCTTGCACGATGGCCTAGAGTGCCCGTAATCAAATGTCTGGTCCTGGATGGATAAATGCGCTATACGGGTAAGGTTGTCCCCTTTATAACATCAATTGGTTTTAGATCAACCGGTAGCGCTGATGCTCAACAAGTGGTATCAGAGCAATAACCCTAATTTAAGAGCCAATGTAGCACATTATAATCCCTAATGCTACATTAAGATAAGATATAATCCCTTAAATCATGGGATACATATGTATAGATTAGTATATAATCTACATTAAGGTAAACCCTAATGTAGAGAGTTCAGATTTGCGCCAATTGTTTTTGTGACAACTCGTGTTCTTGGTGAGGAAAAAAACTCTTTCTTAGTGAAAGAACAATTTGGAGAACTCTCTGTGTTATTTACTTTCTGTTCTTTGTTTTCTTATTTTTGTTCTTTATACTTGAAGTTTATCCGATCAATACAAACCTTCATGCAAAGACAACAAGAACAAACAAACATATCAGCAAGAGTCATAAAGACAACTAGCATCCTATAAACATGACCTAGCGGGCCGACGTTGGTGCTCTCGGCCCACGAGTACGGTGAAGAGAGTAACCTAAACTAATCAACAAAAGCTCAACAAAAACCATAGCAACACAACAACCAAGACAAGCTACCTAAAGCCAAACCAATACCAATCCTTACCAAAAGTCAACTGGCTTAAAAGTCAACGGTCGAAGTTAACTCCGCTTGATGCCCATGTCATGGACACCCCATAGCCACTCAATCTACTCTCGATCAAAATTTGCTACTACGTCGTGGCAGAAATGCCACCATGTTGTGGCAGAATCTAGGCAAAATAGTCGAGAATAAACTTGTCACCATGCCATTTTGATCATCATGCCACGTTGTGGGCTCGTCCGGACAAACCAGATGTGATAAGTCTCGCTGCCATGCCATGGGATTTCCTTGGCCACGCCGTGGTCTTCAATCTAAAGATATTTTCTTCAAAAGTATCTTAATTTTGAAGGACCAAAGCTAAAAACATAATATCTAATTTCTAATAGCTTCTTAGTTGATAAAGTTTCTAACTCTATGCATGAGGATGGTCCAAACCACCAAGATCATGAATTATATCTCAAAAGGGACCCAAAAATGTACATTTCCTAACTTATTCCATTTAGTCCAAGTCTCCCACTTTTATATCTAAATCAACAAGATATCTAGAGGGATAAAGTTTCCATCTTTATCCATAATAATACAACAATCTTTCAAGATCTAAAATTTAATACACCAAACTGACTTAATGGACCAAGATAACATGCATGGCTAAAAGGGAAGGAAAAAAGATCTTAAATTTCCTAGTCCATGAGGTATATAAAGCATTGCAACTATTTCAAAAGATGTTGGAGTCCAATCAACTCCATTATTACTCATAAAATGGACAAAAAGTGCCAAATAACCAAAAATGAAGAGATTTAAAGAACTAAAGAGAAAGATTTGAACTTTATACTCACAATAGCGATGTAGTGCCTTTAATGGATACAAACATGAAGCATCATTCCTTGCAACCAAAAGAACCTTATTGATCTTTAAGATTCATCAAAATATCATAAAAAGAATCCAAAAGAGGAGAGAGAATATGGGATGGGCTCAAATCTTGAAGATGGAGACTAGGGGTTCAAGATATGACATCGACTGCTAGAATGCCCAAAAATACAGAACCTTATGCTTAAATATGTTGAAAACCCTACAATCATGGGCTTGGGCTTGATGACTACCCCTCCATAACCACATTTCTTCACAGAAAGGTATTGAAGAGCCCCAAAATGCTATATAGTTACTTATGTCTTAAAAAACTACCGAACTAAAATCATTAATTCATGAAAGAAGTCAGAAACATCACTTTCCCATTTTAGCATTTGACTCCAAAACACAAACCAAGGGCTTAGATCACATAACCAATATTATACACATCCAATAGGATCTAAAACCTATTACCTTGAAGCCAAAGGCCTTTACTTGATTTGTTTATTGTCCATAATCCCAGAATAAGAAACGTCTTGATACAAGATGTTACCACTATCCCCCACTAAAACTGGATTTCGTCCTCAAAATTCATCTTTGTTAGGATCTCTAAAAACAATGCCAACATATTCCATAAGCTTCCTATAACCACTTCAAAATCAAGGAATCTTATAAATAAAATTTGAGAGACCACTCGGTAACCCACAACTACCAAGAAACAACCTAATAACTTGAAAATACTCAACATAAAACATTTCTTTCTCTCCCTAACTATAAGACCCAACTTCCAATGAAAACCACTCAAACCGAGAACTCTCAAAACTACAACCACAAACCAACTCCATCAATATACTCCCTAAAAATGGGAAACCATCACTCTAAACTCCAGAAAAGATAATCGAATATTGATCATCATCCATTCATCGTACCTAACCCTCAGATCGTGAATTTCAACATACCGATTGTGAATAGCCAAAACATACCAATCATGAATTTTAAAAAAAATCCTTAAATCCATAAATTGTTCCCAAAAACCTTAAATAGACACTTGATTTCCTGACAAGTCATCACTAACCCATTCCTCCCTCAACCATAATGATGGTTCAATCCATGAATCTCACGTTTCATCCAAATCCCTCATCAGCTTAGGTGTATAACCACTTGACAAATCATTCGAGACATTATCAATTATCTTCATGACCTGAAGTTTCAGATCCAATACCCATATCTAGTAACCAACTCCTAGTAATAGCCCACAAGCTAGTAGAGACCCACAAATGCAAACTTTTGGCAAGTGAGTTCTGATGCACAACTAATACATCAAAAATACAAACTTTTACTATCCATGTGATCCAAACCAGCTGGTCACTGAGTCTCTCAGCTCCCAACAATGCACTAAAACCCGAACATGCCAATAAGACTGATGATCTGAGACCTAAGAGTCGCAATCAAATGACCTACTGGGTACCATTAGTTTCCATCACGATCTCATTCTAGCCACTAAACTAATAAGCTTATTGTACTTCACCGATCTTGATGTCACTCCATTACTGACTTGAAGACTCACGACCAACACTATATGGGCCTAAAGGTACCCAACCATCAATCCACTGACTTTTAGGAACCTAATTGACATCCTTCTCAACACTAACTGCGCACAACACAAACGATACCCTTTTATCATACATAATTCCTTTCATGGTAGGGCTGCTACTAACACAAAATCAGACAAAAACATGGTCGCACAACCATAGAATGAGATAGGTAGTCGTACTCTTGATCAAATTCAAAATTTATACACTACATAAGAACCATACCAATAAATTCGAACGAAATGTTCTCATGCTATCTCACTCAATTCCCAAAGACCCCTCATGATTATGACATCCAAATTTTTAAACCAACATTTTTCATATTTAATTTCACATAAAAACATAGTTCACAAAAACCATCTTAAGAAAATCATAAGTGTCAAATACAAATCATCATCAACATATCAGAGTATCCCAAAACACCCAGAATCATAAAATGCAAGTGAATGTGTATAATTAAGCTTTCGCCTTCCCCCGATCCTCTGAAGTACCTAAAACACATTTAATCAACAACTGTAAGAATGAAGCTTAGTGAGTTCCCTAAATTATCACATACAACACAACATAAAATAAACAACTATGGATTATCAGCAACCCTGGCACTACCCGAAGTCTCTGTGGGAAAACAACATGCCTTGTAGGTTATCAACAACCCTGGAGACTGTTGGATTTGGTGTCTAAGTGCATAACTAAAACTGGCATGTACTTGACCCGATTGTAGCATGGTCCTTTTGGGTTTCCTTCACCAGTGCAATTTGATAGGATGATTTTTGAGAATAAGGTTATTTATGGTTTATTAATATATTACA